CGCGCCTCCGGCCGGCGCATGGTGCAGGGGAGGGGTGGAAATACCTGTTTGCGTATCCCGTTAAAATGGCGAAGAGCCTGTGGCCCAAAGGTGGGAATAAACCCTTGGAAAACTACGCTTCTTATGGCTTTTTCACGCGTGTGTTTTACTATGCCAGCTGCTTTCTCGGTTGCCTATGCAAATATGAACCTTTTCAGCTTTGCTTTACATGCAAAGTGAAGTTTGGGGTTTGTGGGCTTTTTTTCCTGCTGGCTCCATAAAATCCTTTTGTGATTGGCGCTTATTTTCTGGGACAAAAATCCCTTTTGTTAATAATAAAGAGTAAAACTGCACTCACGCTGCATTACTTAATTCATCTTCTGTTGCGTGGAAGTCTTGATTCACAGCAGCTAGTTCCAGGATGGATGCCTTGGCAGGGGCTTCTGTATCACTGTCCTCATTTCATACCAGCACTGTGAAGTCTTTTACCTTTTGGTTTACTTGGCAAATTGTTTCCACTTTCATAGTTGGAAGTTGGTTTCCTTCCTCTTCCCCCTCTGGTTTTGTAAGTTCGGGGCTACTCTCTTAAAATGCTGCTTCCCAGTGCTCAACATAGTTACTCAGCTTTTCCGATTTTACTTAGGAAATACTTCTTCCTTCAGAGAGACTTGTGCTTAACATTACATGAGTGCTACGTTAATTATTACACTATTTAACAAGTATGTAATACTTGCTTCATTACAGGTCTTGGATACAAAAGACGTACAGGTATTTAAAGTGACCGTAAATGGACAGGATGCAAAATATGTTTTTGGAGAAAAGCACAGTTTCAAGGGGACCCCCCTGGAAATCACGCTTCCTTTTGAACTAAGAAGGTACACACTTCTCCCTGTTCCTTTAGGTGGTTTCCAGAATGCACTGTATAAGCTACTTGTCTGCCTGTAGGGTCGTTGTGTAAAACTTGCAAAGGGACTTATAAATTAGGGTGTTGCATTTATTTGGTATGGTCTTGTAGATGAATTTAATATTTGGTGTTCATTAGACAGCCAAAACTTTGGGAGTCTTTGTACCCGTCCCCAGGTCTTATATCATGTACAAAATGACCTGCTAGAGTAAGTAGCAAAATAATGTGTAATGTATCACATTTTTTCCAGTGCTTCTCATCAGTAATATTCTTTCTGCTTCAACTACCTGAATTTTGGCACGTTCAGAATTGCTACAGTATGGCACATACGGAGTTAGAAACCCTGTTTGCCTTTTTTTACACAAGGGCTGATCCTGCATTTCTGTAGAACTGCAGCTTATCACTATGATTAGATAGAAACATGTTTTCAGATAATAAATGTTTTATTGTATTGGCTACACTAAGCCCAAGTCCCTAAAAACTGGAACTCGAGTTTAGGCAGCATGATGGAGAATGAACTAACCATAATCTACCTCTGAAGTTGCGTGAATGAAGAGGCTGTTGCCAAATTACAAAACATTTTTTGGCAGTTTTCTTACAACATATTGTAACTCTATGGTATCTCATGTGCCAAAGCTGAAAGCCATGACTGTGTAAGGAGGTTCCCTTGTTTGAATAAAATGGTATACTAAGTTGCTTCTTACTGTTTTGTTTTCAAAACTGGTTGCTACCTCTACAAACTCATGCCTGGTTTCTAATGTTGTTGTTGTTGTTGTTCTCTGAATTAGTGCAATTCAGAAACACACATAATGTGGAAGAGAAAGGAATGTCATACGACAGCTGTTCCTTCTGGGGAAATGCTTATGATCCGATTTGAAACTGAACAAATAAAGTACTTGAACAAACAGGCCACAGCGGAAACATAGGCCTGTTTCTTTTGGTTTGCTTTCAGCTTTTTTCTTTTATTGCTAGATTTCCTTGTAAGAAAAAAGCTACAACGAGGGAGTTAGGAGTCGTGATCGTAAGAATTTGTAATCTTCTTTGAGATACAGTTCCCCATGCAAATATCAATAAAACAGTGATAGGAAAGGGTAGGAGTTACAGCTGAAAGTCTGACTGTTCAGTAAGCAATGTGCCTTATGGTAATACAAATTATTTTTTCTTGTCAAATACGTACTTTGGAATACCAGTTATAAACCAGGTACGTATACCTGGTCAGCTTATCTAGCGTCCAACTCTTCTGATTAGCTGAAGTTTGTTCTGATTTATGGTTGGATTGTTAATTCCAGAGAGTTGCATGTATAACCTGGAACTTTCTGATAACAGAAGCAGGTACTTCTGTGTGCTTTTGGTGTCAGTGATGGTTATGGTATGTTTTTGAAAAATAAGAGTGTGAATGTGTCAGGTTTCTGTGTGTTCTCTTGTTAGCCAGCTGGTACCTGTTTTGCACAGAACTGTTAGTTTTTGCTTTATATCAGTTCTGAAACCCTGAATAAAATTTGAACTTTTTTTTTCTTGTTAACACTACTGTTAATAGGGTTTTCCAGTAATTACTATTTTCAGTATTTTTTTTTTTCCTGCTTAAGGATCATACTTATACTGAACACAACAGCAGCTGCAAAATCTAATTTTTTTTAATTTACAGAATACACAAATCCTATGTTATTAAGACATGTATGTTCTTATATAGCCTTTAAATACCTTTTTGTTTGCTTATTGCAGTGGGTTTTTTATACTGACATATACAATTTTAGATAGTTGTGACAAAATGATACGTATATAGGTCCAAATGATGTAAAGAAAAAGTCCATGTTCTCCTTGAAGAGAGGAGAAGAAAGGTTTCTGGTTAGTAAAAACAATAATAGAAGTGTCTTGGGACATTAAAATTGAAATAAACTAGCTAATTTTTACTATCATAGTTGAAAGGGAAGAGTTGTTTTTAATATGCTACTTGTTTTTTTCTTACTTTTAATGCTTTTGAGACAGTGCTGCAGACCTATGTTCCAGAAATCTTTGTAGAGGAATTTCAGTAGTGATCAGGAGTTGTGTCAAAACAGTCTGACTATATTCTTTATTACACAGGGGACAAGAAGCAATTGTCGAAATCTCTTTTGAAAGCTCTCCAAAGTCTTCAGCTCTCCAATGGTTTACTCCAGAGCAAACATCTGGAAAGAAACACCCATTTCTCTTCAGCCAGTGTCAGGTTGAGTTGATTAATTTTTTTTTTTTTTTTAAATTGTTGTTTACATACCACTGTAATTCCCTGTGGTTTCTAAAGAGTGGGAGAAGGCGGCTAGTAGGGGAAAGTACATTAGCCCGTAACGTCTAATTGTGTGTGTCAAAGGCCCTAAATGAAAACACTTAGTAAGTCAGGACATTGCTGAGATTTTATTATATGTTTGCAATTTAATAATTCCAGAACTGCTTTATCCAATCCAGTATTCTTGTTGAAGAACATGCAGTCCTTTACAATCGATATATGTGGCTATTGATCTGTCTTACCTGCTATTATTTCTTTTAGAAAACCCTTAACTATGAAAACTACTGTAAGTGATAACAAGTATTGGTTTGTAGATAATGAATTTGCTGGAGGAGCTGCATAGATTTCCAATATAATATATTAGTTTGATTTATTTCTAGTCCTCTGCATTAGAAAGATTGTTATGTTTTAGCTTTTTCTTTTTTTTTTTTTCCCCTCCCCCTCTCCAGGCTACCCACTGCAGAGCCATCTTTCCATGCCAAGACACACCTGCTGTGAAACTAACCTACTATGCAGAGGTAGATGAACCTAACTCATGTGTGTCTAACTAAAGACAACTACTATAATGGGTGCTTTTTTTTTTTTTGGTAGCTGCTGGCATGTGTCCTAAAAAAAAAAGAGAATATTGACTTTTAGCTTAATGTAAGAGCCAAAAACTGCTTACCTTCCTTGTGGCACTTCTCTAGCTTTACCATTTTCTTTTATGTATATCATCTCTTTTTTCATTCAAATGTATCTTTACTTCCAAAAGAAAAAAAAGTAGTTGGAAAGAAATATGTTCTTAAATCAGGAAAAGGTGACAGTAAGACACCAAAGAGTGCTGTAAAGTGAAAATACTTGAAAGGACTCTCATATATGCCTGAAGTAATATATTCTGGTATATAGTTAGGGGATCTTTGCAGTCCTGGCGTAAATAGTCTCATTGTTCTAAGGAAGCAAAAAGTGAGATGCACAATGTGACATTACAGTTCAGTAGTCTGAAGAAAGTGAAACTTTTAACTTCTATCAGAGGTAATCATTCTAGTTAATTAAATATTGTCAGCCTTTAAGACAAATTTTCTATATGCTTTATATTCTACTTGACAGAGATAACTTAATAACAGAACAAATCGGGGCTACTTTTACTGCTATCTGTGCTTCTAGTATATTGTATAATCCCGCATGCCAACTGAGTTCCTCACAGTCGGGTAAACTTTCAGATATCCGTTCCTAAAGAGTTGGTGGCTCTTATGAGTGCTAATCGCGATGGAGAGATGCCTGACCCAGAGGACAGCAGTCGGAAGATATACCAGTTCAGTCAGAACGTAAGTGCTCCAGGCTAGTAAACAGATGCCTAAGGCCTTATTCTTAACTCGTGCGGTTTGCAATCACTTCAGATACGGTTTTGATGTCATCGCTTAATCATGTGACTCACCATGGGTCTTTGCCACTGTAGAAATATGAGGTATTATGAATCTCCAACTCTGAAAAGTCAACCACTAGGTGCTGGTGGTGTTTACTGGTTGTTTTGGCATTCCCAGAAAAGCCAAATTAGAGTTTTGAAAATGTTTAGTATACCCAAAGCTGGTACTGTCAAAACCCTTTCTGCCTGCACTGATTCTTGGGAAATAATGCATGGAGATGAATAACATGGGAATGAGTTTTGGAAAACAGATCCTGCAAATTTTAAGCTTACCAAGATCTTAGGAGTGAAGCTGAGCATTGGAACCAATTTTTAACTTGAAGTTAGGCAAATTCTGACAGAAGAGGTTTTTTGGGTTTGGGGTGTTTTGTTTTTAAAGGTGAGAACTTTGGCTTTTATGGAAAGTATCTCCAGCTAATCAAAGATTACCGTTCTCAGGATGAAGTTTTATTAAGCGGTGCAGCTAGTTTAATAGTTCCACTGCTCCTAAAGTGGCAGTCTCAATTTACTCTTCTGGAATTTTTTGTTACAGTTCCGATGTTTATGGGATCTCTTGGTGACCCTAGTTCATTTTGCTGAACAAGCGGATAAAATTAACATAAGTTTAAAAAAGAAATTGTTGTAGTAAGCTGATCTGGGCTGCTGAGGGACTGAATGACTGCAAGGAGGGATGGAATTGTGTGACTGGAGGAGAGAAGGGGAACCTATTCCAAACTGCAGCAGCTGTTGGGCTGATTTGGCTGCTATGTGAAACCTGAGAGAGGCAAGAGAGGAGAGAGAGAAAAAGTTGTTACTTTATCTGTGAGCTCTTCAATATGCAGCATTCTGTTCTCTGTGGAGCCAAGAACGTTTGCCACTCTCGGTCTAGTGCATAAGGCTTCTGTGTTGCATGTTATCCAGAGCTGTATGTTATCTAGAAATACACTGTTGATAAGTTTGGTGGACCTGTACAAAAGAATAACATCTAGTCTAGTTGAAATTATATTCCACTTTCTAATACAGAAAGCCATTAGATCAATTTTTTTGTTTAATGAAACACATGCCTCTTCTAGCAAAGTCAAATGCATTAAACACAAAATATATAAATGGAAAAAGGCAAATGCATTAAAAAAGACATACACATCATCTAACGTACAAAAACACGAGACTGATTTATTAGAAAAGGCATGTGTTTCCTTAGATGAAAAGGGAAAATGCATCAAACTCTTGGACATGTATGTGTGCTGAGCTTACCTAAAACTACTGTTTTTGTTCCTGCATAGCCAGGCTGGTAAGAAGTTCAGTGGAGAGCAGCCTCTGTAAAAATGAATTTGTAAGCAACAGCCACTGAGATTTGAAGTAATTTCAAAATTTCAGATTAGCAAATTGGGCATCAAAATGTAGGGATACATTGACAGGCTTTTAATCACTTGTCTATTACACAAGTCAATGGACTTAAATCTTTTCAAGAATATATTCTGTGGGTTAATATGTAAAATTAAAACACACATGATTATATGGGTATTTTAGTAAATGATATTGAAATGGTTTGGGGATAATGGTGGAATAAAATTTTCTGAAATGCTGTCTCCAAGTAATTATGATTTAAAGACTTGCTTATTTAACATTGTTTAGTCAGATAAAATTGAACTTCTACAGGGATGGCTGTATTATCCCTGTTTGTTTCCAGAGCACTTGGAGAAGGCATTTCTCTGTAAAGATACTGTAGCTTTGGAATTTTTTATCATTAAAATAACAAATATTTAGAATTTATTTTAATTCCAAACATGGAAATCAGATACATATATTTTGATTTTGATGAATCTTTTGTATCCATCAATATTCTTGTTTACTTGAATTCATGAAAGCTCTTCCTGCATCTTTCTGTGTGACACCATCCCTGGAAGTGTTCAAAAAACGGGTAGACGTAGCACTTCGGGACATGTTTTAGTCTAGTTTACCCTTAATTGGTTTAGTGTGGACTTGGTAATGTTAGGTTAATGGTTGGACTGGATGATCTTAAAGGTCTTTTCCAACCTAAATGATTCTGTGATACAACTGCCCTTTATCTGAGCAGTATCTCCTTCCATAAAATTTAATGGAACTGGAATGAATATGGAAAACTGACTTTATTTTGAACAGTAACCAAACCAGTAGCATTTTTGTATGCTTTTGTATATGCAGATTTTTTTTCAAACAGAGATGATACAATTTTGTGGCCTTTGCATGAAACAGCTGTGAAACAAGTACTTCTTGTAGTTAAAGGAATATCATTTGGGGAGAAAAAAAAATGCCTTTATTATAACATAGGGCAGGAAACTATGGAGGAAATGTGCACAATTCTTTATTTACATACTTTGTTTTTCTTTGAATCAGTGGTGGTGATAGCTCACATTACAAGTAAGATTTCTTTTTTTTCTCATGTTCTCCACTAGGTTCCCATACCTTTCTACTTGATTGCAATAGTGGTTGGAGCTTTAGAAAGCAGGTGAGTGGTTCTGCACAAAGTATAAATAGTAATAATCATAATAAATCTTCAGAGTTATCTTTTTTGTTTCTAGGTTTTGTTTCTAGTTTCTAGCTCAGAGAATAGTATCTTTTTCCTCAGGTAACAGCCTCATGTACAAAAGGCAGAAGATTATAGCTTAAGCCTCGTTGCTCATCTGCCCAAGAATATGTTAATCTAGCCCGTAAGAATGCTTTTATATTAGGGGTTTACAGCATTTTAAAATCTGTAAACACATTTCCTATTTATTTTTCCCAAATAGTGGATGTGTGTAATCTGTTTTCTAAAGCTTTACTTTAGCAGTGGAGAGGAAAAAGAGACAAAGACTCTCTAATGAGTTTTTTCGGCAAAATGGGTTACTCATGAACACAGTTTAAACATATGCTCTCTGTGTTAGTTTCCCATAGAATTATTTCTAGTTCATAGTGTCTTAGTGGCATTTTTACTTTCAACAGAAAGATTGGCCCAAGGACACTGGTGTGGGCTGAAAAGGAGCTAGTGGATAAATCAGCCTATGAATTTGCTGAGGTGGGTAATTAACAAAAAAATGTTTTGTCAACTAACTGTTTCACATAGTATTGGAAAAGGGACAGACTGAAGTTCAGTGTTTTGTAGCTCTCCTTTCTCTACCTCCCACCCCAAAATTGCTGCGGTTCTGTCGCAACACAAAACTACTACTGAAAATAAATATTGATCCAGTCTTGTACTCATTTTGCACGTGGGACATGCCAAGGTGAAAGAGAATGAAGTATGGGATCCATAGCTTATTTCTTGTTCAGTGTTTGTAGTCAGAAGTCATGTTAGAAACTAATGTGAATTCTTGTTTCAGGCTGAAGCTATGCTGAAAACAGCAGAAGACTTAGCAGGACCCTATGTATGGGGACAGTATGATCTGTTAGTCTTACCACCTTCTTTTCCTTACGGTGGTATGGAGAATCCTTGTCTTACTTTTGTAACTCCAACACTGTTGGTAAGTGTAACACTGATAAAAGTAATCTTTTCCTTAGGGCTTGCTTATCCATCAAGTGATGGATATTAATCCACAAATTGGATTAATCTTCCTCCTAGAAAGAACTGTAAATGTTCCTGCCTCCTTTGGAGTTAGGGATCATACATGAAACTGCATTAAGTGGTATATTTAGAGGTTTACTTGAACTGACAACTGCCCTGTCTCTATTTTTTTCTTTTTTTAGGCAGGTGATCGATCTCTATCAAATGTAAGTGCAAAATAAGTTCATGTCTTCAAGTAGAACACAACTTGAAGTTGTATCTTAACTTCCCTTGTAATAGATACCTGAAAACTTGGTCTCATTTTCATTGGGGGAATTAAAAGCTAAGGTAGTAACTCAAAAAGTTTTACAAAGTGTGATTTAGTTCTAAGTAAACTGTAGAAAACTGCAGACATATCTATTTTGTATAATGAGCAGATGAAAATAACATGGGTGCCTGTATGCATAGGGGGCTGACTGAAGTCAGCTGCTCAGTACCTTTTTTCCTGTCCTATGTATAGATATGTTTAAAAACCACAACTGAAGTGATCTCATCGAAAGTGGTTCTAGGGAACTTCTTCCTCTGTATGTCTGTCTGTGCACTAGAACTCACGTTGTGCACAGTTTCCTTTTAAAATGGAAATCATGAGTACAATTTGAGTAAATTCTGGTTCTTTTCTGGAAAGTTGAGTACTTTGGATGCTGTTTTATCTCGTATGTCTTCCTATTAGACTGATATACTGCCAAAAAAAAAAAAAAAACCCAACCCTGTCATATCCCAAGAGTACTGAAATATTTGACATGGATACTTTTTAATGTATCATGCATCGTTACCCTTCTAGGGGTGACTGTTTTCTTCCTGTTTGATATTTTAGAACATCCCAGCACTGCAGAAGTTGCTTAGGTGGGAAAGTAGTACTAGTCCATCACTTGGCATGGATTCAGTATTCTGAAATGTGATTTCATAAACAAGTACCTGCGCCATGCTGCCAAAGGAATTATTTTTGTTGATCAGTGTGGCTTGCAGGCCGGACATTAGAAATTATTTCTGGAGAAGGTTTGGTAGGATAGTGTTAGTCCTCTAAACAAAATTTATATGGCTGAGTTTACAGAGCTGTGAGTGCTAACTGGCTTTGGGAATGTAGTACAGTAAATGAGATCCCATTCAGATTTTTTTCTTTCTGTTGGGGTTTGAAGTTCATTTTCCAGAGGAGTATAAATGGTAGAGCTGCCATTGTTTTCTGTGTTTTAGGTTATTGCTCATGAAATCTCTCACAGCTGGACAGGAAACTTGGTAACAAACAAAACATGGGAGCATTTTTGGTAGGTGTTATGTTCGATGCAATACAAATCATATTTTAATATTTAGCTGTAAAGAGACCAACTAAATTCATTTTGCCATCCTACTAGTGCTGACTTTATCAATGTATTTCCAGGCTGAATGAGGGACATACTGTATACCTGGAACGCAGGATTGGTGGTCAGCTGTTCGGTGAGCAGTTCAGGCACTTTAAAGCCCTAGGAGGTTGGCGGGAACTGCAGAATACGGTAAACATTTTTAAAGTTATGATAACTTTATGTTTAAGCATATACCTAAATAAAATAAAGCTGATTCCTGTGTTTCCCACAAATAAGACTTGTCTAGTCAGCTTTCCTAACAGTTTCTTATTAGAGGATGAACAACTTTGATTCCAAGGTATATGATCTCTTCCCATGGTAATAGCTTAATATACTCAGATTGGATGAAGTTTTTTGAACTGTTTTAGGCTGTTCTGTAAGGATGAACATCTTTTACAGACTCTCTTGGTTGTTCTGGGTATGGCTAAATTGCAGTATTAGCTGTTAGCATATTGGTAAGCAGTGAAAGCTTGTCAAAATTATCTGCAGGCATGACCATCAGAATTTCCAATGCCTCGTGCAGGTAACTGATTTCTTTTTTTGCTGTGTACTGTGTTATAACTGAGCATATTCCTAATCCATTACTGTCTAGAAGGGTTGTTTCGTTTTGTGTTTAGGTAGCATAGTTAGTTTTCAGATTTCTAGCCTGTGATATTTCCAGCCCTCTCATTCAGTTTGGTGATGCAGTTTACCTGGTTTACTATGAATATTTCCTTGTAGTTTAAATAGTTTGTTAATAAAAGGATAAATATAGGTAGTTTATTAGGTGGTTGTGATTGTGACAGACATGACAGTAATTTACTGCTTTGAGACAGCTTGGAGCACAGGGTGATTGATCCTAATGTCTTTCTGTCTGATACACAATCAGACACTGATAAAATAAAATGGAAAAAAAGTGTAGTAAACTATGTTTTGTGCAGATTCAGAACTTCAGGGAAAAGAATGAGAAAGAATGCGTTGAAATGAGGCCATCTTAGTTTTGGATGCATTATACCTTTATAAATAGGATTAGTAGTGATTCGCAAGAGTGCTGGTTTTTCTAGATGAACATATTTTCTTGTGTCTTTCTGACAGATAAATACCCTTGGAGAAAACAATCCTGCAACTAACCTCGTCCCTAATCTGAGTGAAGTAGATCCTGATGTTGCCTATTCATCTGTTCCGTATGAGAAGGGCTTTGCTTTGCTTTTTCACCTTGAACAACTTCTTGGAGGACCAGGTATGTGTTAGTCAGACTTTATATATTATTGTTTCCCATTTTAATTTCAAACACTGAAACAGTTTGTTTTTTAACTGTTAGATGTCTTCATGGGCTTCTTGAAGGCTTACATTCAGCAGTTTGCTTATAAGAGCATAGTAACGGAGGACTGGAAGAAGTTCTTGTACTCCTACTTCAAGGATAAGGTTGGGTAGTATTTAAAACTAATTGCTTGAAACCTTTTCATCATGTGAAACTATGGCATAGCTCAGGAATTACCTTCTTTAAGGACCAGTTATTTGTCTTTCGCTATCTCAGGATCTTAATATGATGTAGTCTGGCATCTTACGAAGATGGATTTGCATTATGATGTTTTGGTTCTTTTCCTAGAAGGGAATATTTTGTTTTGAAGTAATCTTTATAGGATTTTCCAGGGTAATGGGAAGGATATTAAAAAAACCCAAAACTTTGAAACTAGTTTTCGTGGGGTATGTTTTTCTCCAAAAATAACACTTAAAATTGAATAAGAATTTGTGTTGCTTTGTAGGTAGATGTTCTTGATAAAGTTGATTGGAACTCGTGGTTTCATGCTCCAGGAAGGCCACCAGTGAAGCCTACGTAAGCTGCATTCTTTTATAGTTCTTCTTTTCCTTCTCCAGATTGCGTGTGATTTTCCAAACAGTCATAAAGCAGTTCGTAAACAGAGTGAAAGTCTTCCCACAAACATTTTATTAGAAAGTGTCCTAGTACTATGTGGAAATCGATATATGTGCATATAGGAGGAAAAAATGCCAATGTTAATATTTTCAAGTTTTTATTCTGGTGGAAATTCATTTTGCTTTGAAAGTTGCCAGGAAAGATTCTTTTTTCTGACAGTTTGTTACAACAATATTCTCTTTTCAGCTATAAGCTATAATATATGTACAAGCATATATGCTCAGAAGTATTGATCATTTTAGGAGTGTATGGGATCAAGGGATAGTGTCACCTATGCACAAAGTGCTTCTAACTAAAACTGAAATGTATTTCATTGTAATAGATCTTTTGTAAATTGTGTTGCAATATTGAGTTGGAGCCTACAATGAACACATGGAGCCATTTGAAAATAATTTCTAAGCATTCTCGTAAAAATATTACAGGAGCTTTTTGTGTTTCCAAAGTGTGATCCTTTGTTTTTAATATTTGACAGGTATGATATGACACTATCAAATGCTTGTGTTGCATTGAGCCAAAGATGGATCAAAGTGAGTGGTTAAAGAATGCTCAGGTGTCTGTGTCTTGAAAAGCTAGTTCTCTTTATACAAAGTGAGCCATTCTCTTCTGAAATCTATCACTTGCTGAGAGAGAACGTACTTATGGTGATAGTATGGCTGCCAGGGATTTTGCATTTCATCGACTAGCCTTTCGTCACAGAGTCTGTGGATTTGCTATGACTTCTGTACGTGAAGTACTGTACGTATTTTAACAAGGCACACAGCCAGCTTTCTGTTATGTGTATGTAGTAACCAAACAGAATATTCTTTTTGAAACCCTCATACTATGGCTTGATTTAAAAACAAATTCCAAGGTATCTCTACATTACTGATTATGTTGTATTAGCAGTAACTCCCCTACATTATACTGGAGCTAGTATGCATTTCTCATCAAAACCTGAAATACATGAATCATAATAAGTAACTAATACCGTACAATTTTCTCATAATTTCAACCATAAAACTCATACAACTAATAGAGAATTCAGCATACCTTCCTTTTGTTAGCTCTGTGGCTTTTCACTTAACAGAAAAAACAGTGGAGGGAAAAAGATCAGTGGAGAGAAAACAAGTGAAAATTGGAGTGAAGAATACCAAACATCAGACAGTAGCTTAAGTCCTTCCCTTCCCCTTCTTTGTAACATCCTGCACAAATACAAATCAGTATCTTTTTATGTGGAATGGCTCAGTAGTAAATGCAGATGTCCAAGCAAAAAATTACACCTGATTGTATTTTGAAATACAAGTAACCATTCTCTTTTAGGCAAAAGAGAGTGATTTGGGTTCATTCAGCTCAGCAGACCTGAAGGAAATGTCATCTCATCAGTTGATTGAGTTTTTGGCACTGTTGCTTCTGGAGGTAAATGCATGCCTGGGGTAACTTGATTCTGGTATCACAGAAGCAGGCGCAGAAGTCCAAGTGTGCTTTGGAATGAAGTTGTCCATTTTCTTACACGTTTTGCGAAAATAACCAGCTCTCACCATACATAGTTACTCAAAGCTTGAGCTGTGCCTCCCTGATTGTGTGTCTGTCTCTTCAGCTAACAAGCCAACATATAGAGTATTTTGGATTGAAAGGTAAAAACAAAATAAGGTGCTTGAGTTTGTCTGTATTTGAGGTTATAGCAAATAAGCTATAAATAAGACAGAAAAAAAAAACTTCGTTTTGAATGTTTCAGTAGTACTGGATGTGGGAATTTGCTAACATTTATTCCTTGCCCCTTCCCTAATACTATCATTGTCCCAAAAGCAGGGTCATTCACCTGGTGTGCAATACGCCAATATACACACAGAGCAGAGCTATTTTATTTAATTCATTTCTGCACAGAGATGGGTGCTAGGTGGTAATTCCACAGAGGTAGCACACCACACACGGGAATCACAACGTATTTATCCTGTTACATGATTAGTAAAGACCCACCCAAATTTATGTTCATTGGTCAGTAATTACCATCCCCTCTGCTGCTGGTTAGCTACATTTAAATAAGCCTTGCTTGCTATGTAAATTAGCACACATGCTCCACACCTACAGACAGGTGGGGGGGCAAGTCCTTTTGGTCTTAAATTGAGTCGGTGGTCTTGATCTACCCCTGCCGCTTTCACCCTTCCCCCAGTTACCGTGCTTCGGCAATTGTCCAGTTTTTCAGTGCCTTCTGAAGCAGGATGTTCCCTTTTATCAGTTTCTCAGTTCTTCAAGGTTATAACTGCCAGTTTTTCATAGTTAATTGAGTAAATACTTCCATGTCTCTTAGCTCTTCCCTTCAAATGCCAGATCCCGTTACACATGGTTCATTGTTTTGCTCAGCAGAAAATTGTATTTTCTGCAGTATACCACTATGAGAAGGTGAAAGAAACAAATACAAATACTTGTTATGGTAAGCTTTTGATTCTTTTGTAGTGTCATTCTTGAATGAACCTGTTTATTTTTGAAGTGTGTGGCTTAAAGTGTGCCTCTGGCTTACTCTGACTAGGCAATTTCCTTTTTCAGCCTCCTCTTCCAGTGTCACATGTCAAACGAATGCAGCAAGTATATGACTTCAATGCTATAAACAATTCTGAAATAAGATTCAGGTTTGTTCTAGTATGGGCATTTTTCTAATCTTAAACGCTTTCATAAAACAAACTTCATAAGTGGTCTGAGACATACTGTTGTATATAACTGGTGCAGGGGTTCAGGGGTTGTTTTGTAAGTGCATGTGCAAGCGTGCTTACCAGAGTCGTAGTCTGTTACTTATGTATGAATTGGGTAAATACAGTCTAGCAGAAGAACTGGAAGTGAGCGGTAGATTAGCTGTGCTTCATTTTTGTCTGTCATGGTAACAAGGAACCTGATGACCCAATAACTTTTATTTTGGGGGTGGTATTGGATAATACAATAGCGAGCCTCTCTGTGACTCAAACATGCCTGAAAAATCTTTCAAAAGCTTTAGTCAGGAACAGGTCTTCTGGATTTACCTAATCAGTTCTTCTGCTGATGTGCCAGTGGTTTTTTTTTTTCAACACAACTTGGATACGTTTTTATCATACTTTAATGCTTGCTATCACAAAGCTTTTGTCTCATCAAAAAATGTAAATACCAAAGGAAGTTTTTGAACAAGTAGGAAATGCTTCTAATTAAATGGCTTGATTCTTGTGCCATCCTAATTTCTTCTATTTTGTATTTACACATTGTGTTTATGCATGTCACCTGTTAGAAAAAGGTGTTGTTGAGGATGTAAGTAATCTTTACAAATATCTTGAAGTATTGCATATTTTGCTACTGTTATGTACTTGGATACATTTGCAATAGTGATAGTTATTCTGCCTTAACTAACATGCAGTAGTTTCTACTTCTTGTAACAAGATCAATTTCTTCTTATTTTTAAAACAAAACAAAAACATGCCAGTTGCTGGTGACATTTTGTTTGGGTGTTTTGCTGTTGTTTTTTTTAATCACTTGGTCAAATGTGACAAGTGCTATCTATAATTCAGCTCTAATTCTGAGTGATGCAACTGGACACTACTGTAATAGAAATACATAGCTGCAGAAAATAATCAGACCATTTGGGAGAAACTTGGAAAAAAACTTTTCTGATTTTATAGAAAAGTCCACTTGTGAAACGTGCTAGTCTGGCACTAAATATTTTATGTTCAACTTAGCTAGAATCTTATTCCCATGATGACGTAGCACTGCTTAGAGTGTTTATGGGAACTGAATCATAAGTTAACTAACCACTGCAAATGAAAATAAAAGTGTAAATTTTCTTGGGGTGTTTTCCCCCCCCCCTCCCCCGAGTGCCCCCCCCCCCCCCTCCCCAGATGGCTGCGCCTCTGCCTCAAGTCCAAGTGGGAAGAAGCTATTCCTCTGGCTCTAAAAATGGCAACAGAGCAGGGAAGACTGAAGTTTACTCGACCCTTGTTCAGGTAAATGTAATCTCCAAATTGTAGGAGCTCATTCTGTTGGCATTTTTAGTATAATGGAATGTATAGTATTTATGTTATGCTTTGAAGTAATATAATACAAAATTTTCCGTATACTGTGAACAAGCTTATCTTCAGAGTCACTTTCCATTTGCTGACTTTTTTTTACTAGAAGAAAGCTTAGTCTCTCAGTGTGCACCTCAATGTGAGGCTTTCAAGGGAAAAGTACAACCTTGAGAAAGTCCCCATTGTACTATTCTCATAGATTTTTGTAATGGTGCTTTTTCTTTTTTCCTTTTACAGGGACCTTTACAGTTTTGACAAGAGTCGAGACCTGACTGTCAAGGCATTTCTGGAGCATAGAGCCTCTATGCACCCAGTCACTTCAATGCTTGTGGGCAAAGACTTGCAACAGGATCAGTGACAAATTTACCAAGAAACAACAAGAAAATTTCAAAGAAAGCAAAGAAAGCAACAAGTGGAGCATAGAGCCTCTATGCACCCAGTCACTTCAATGCTTGTGGGCAAAGACTTGCAACAGGATCAGTGACAAATTTACTGATTTCAGCAACAAGAAAATTTCAAAGAAAGAAGAGACCGATTCCACAAACTGCTGATATGCGTGCTTGACTATGCCATAAAATGCTCTGCTGCTTTGGTAATAATTTAGCTTAAAATGAACTTTCCGAATCAAGTTGAGTACTTTCTATTTTGCACCTCCAAGTAATACAGCAAAATTGCTAAGTCTGTGAAATTGGGAGAAAGGTTTTGTTACAAGTGATTTTTAGAACACACAAAAATGCGGTTCTGAGATGTAGTCATTTGTCAGTCATGGAATTTAAAAACATGGAAGTGAATTTGTGGATGGTATGCTCTTTGTGCACAGCTTGCTTTTTCATAGCAACATGGTTGAAACCTCAAGTATCTGAAGACTAAAAAATAAATCTTTTTGTTGTTGTCTACTTGTTTGTGTATTGATATGTATGGGAAGTTTTGAAATAATAGTTTTGGTTTATTTACTCTTCTTTGTTTTGGGAGAAATTTTTATTATGGGTCCAAGAGGGCTATGAAGACCTGAATGGATGACAGCATTCTAGTGTTAGAGCAGAATTTCCATCTCGCCCGATTTGTCATGGCTTTGTTACATTAGTCAATTCTTCATGTTAATCACAGTATAATGGTTTTACTTAGTTATTCCTATTGGATCCTATGCTGTGCACTAACACTTGTCTGAAATACTTCTTTGTTTTCTTTTTTTAGCAAACCTGGGATTTTTACCAAATTTCAGATTTAGTATCTTGCTATGCTTTTAGTAACTTATTTAAATTATTTCAACCCACTGTATATTTTCAGAATTTCTCTTTATTGCATGGGGGACTAAAGCCCAAGTCTTTCTTTCCCCCATTTGAATTTTTTTAATATTTCCATTTTTTAACCAGTTCTGGGCACCACCACTTATATAACAACTTCGAAATGAGGTAAAGAACAATCAGAGGGCTGTGTTTCCTGTAATTGCTTCAGCGCTTCAGTCCAAGTTGATGGTTTAGGTGACGCTGTTGTGAATATTGCCATCTACAGGTGGTTTGGTTTTGTTTTTTTTTTTTTTAAGTGAGTTTGAGAAGAACTGCTTTTCCTGGAAATGATCAGGTAGCATAAACTAAGTCTGTTGACGTAGGTAACCCCATATGGAGGAGTAACAAAGAAAAAGTGCTGTTTTAGAAGAGGAAGATACCAAATGTAGGTCATGGCAAAAGGTTTGGATTTAATAATCGGACACAGAGTGGGAGTGGAGGGTTTGTCAAGCAATTTATTTCTGAGCTGAGTTTTGATCAGTGTAAGATTTCAAGTGGGCTAAGTTACATACTTTACCAGGATATTCATCTTTTCATGCTGGCAGCTCTAATATAAATTAAGGCATGAACATACCCTGTTGGATTTTGATTCAAGGCATCTCAAGTTCTTCCATTCAACTCTAACCTATGTGTAGCTAAGTAATTTACATAAAAAATTATAGAAAAATTAACTCCCAGGTGACTGAGGCTCAAAAATCAGTTTAAATTCTTTCTGTGAATGTTGTGCCACATAGCTTTTAATAAACACAATAAAATACTAGCTTCTTTGGAACCAAAACAGTGTGATTTCCTTGTGTGTAAAGAACTCAGAGGCTTTCTTGTGTTAAGGACCTAATGAGCCATTCATTCTCTTCTTGCTACTCCTCTGAATGAGTGATAACTTCTGCTGGAAAACGCACTGAAAAGAGTTTTTTCTATATTTCAGGTGAGAAATTTAAGCAGTTCCTTTTATTCGCTCCCAAAATCTAATTAGGCTTCTGCTACAGCATCAAGTGAATGAACAGGGATTCTCTCGGGCAAGGCTCTGGTAGGAGGAGGGGATGTCTGGTGTTAACAGGTTCTGGTTCAAGCTATCAGATTGCAATGAAAACTGTTCTTTGTGCTAGAAATATGTTACTAGTTTTGGGGTAATGCTTTGTCATAAAAGCCCATATATCATATATAGTATCATACATAGTAATTCAGCAGCTGGAGTTTATGCTGCTAGCTAATCCTGATTTCTTACTGTCTGAGTAGAAAAAAAAAAAAAACAAAACAGTGGCAGGCATGGCTTTCACACTAGCCTTGTCCTGCAATGTCTGCCACGTAGAGGCTTCCACCAATGGGTCTCAAAATTCCCTTCAATAATTCACCCCAGGTAAGTGCGCTTTACAGTAGTCCCTTTGAGAACAGTATTGCGGGTAGCATGGACTACCAGTGTTGTTACTGTTTTGTCTTTAAAGACAAAGGTATTTTCAGCTTCTGTGTCGACATGGTCATTGCTAAACTTTATTTTGGGACCATCTTAACAGGTATTTCTCCACATCTTTTCCGCTCTGCATCTGCCTGCAAAAGTAGGCATGGTATAGCAGCACCAGTCTCGGTAGCGGCAGGTGTGGCCTAATATTTGTGCCTACCTGTTCTAGCAACATCTTCCAGAGCGTAAGTGAAAGGGTAACGGAGGGAAACTCATTAATCTCCTCCTCCCCTGGGATACCAAATTATGTTCTCTAACTTCAGCTTGGACTGAGCAAAGCAGGCTTGCTTCCTACACCACCTGCTCTCATCCTGCTCTGGATAGGGATGTATGGGTATAACCCAGTCTCCTTTCAATCCTAGCAGCCATGACCAACCCGTGATAGGGTGTCTGTCTTGCAGCCCTGTCCCTTGTGGTGGTTTTCATTAGTGTGATCTACTGCCAGGTGACAGCTCCGTCAACTTTTGTTAAACCCTTAATTTTATAGAACAGTTGCATACCAGCTTATTCTGATTTATTTATCTATTCTTGCTACATAAACTCCAGCTCCTAGATTTTCACTTCTGTGCTCCTGACATGATCTTTGGGCAAAAATTCCTGTCGTAATAGAGGGGGTTTTTTGCCTTTCCATGAAAAGGGTGTGCTCCCTGGGTTTGGTTTGATTGGATGAAGTCAGCTGGATACATTGATCTCGCTTATTTACAAAAGTGGGGATTTGGGGGGTGGATTTTTGCCTCTATCTGATTGCAACACTGGACTCCAGCTAGACACGGGACTTCAGGCGGTCGCATGGTAAACGTGAGGCTGCTGCACACTGCAGCCCTTCTTGGTCAAGGGACAATTTTGGCGAGAGAGCATGCCGAGATACACGGTGCATGTCCGAGGGGAATGGCTGGCAGTGCCATGCCTAAACTGCACGAACACAATCGGGTGGCTTGGAAAGGAAGCTGTGAGACGGTACATGAAAAACAAACCCGACAACGGGGGATTTGCCTCGGTGGAAGATGTAAAATTTTACATTCGAAGGTGCAAGGGACTTGGCTTGCTGGATCTTGATGATACAGTGGAGGATGCTCTGGAGGACAATGAGTTTGTTGAAGTTGGTAAGCAAAACCTTAAGCAACGCATCGCAGAGTGACCATGTTGGCATCTGAGTCAGCAAACTGTCGTTTAGTTTACCTAAAATTGTGCCTGAGATAGTGTCTATGATTTTTATGGAAAAATACCAAAATGCACCATTAGATTTAAGTGTAGAACTGTGTAAGGCATAGAAGCTACAGGACTGTATATACATCATTTGCATATGATATCATATATGCTATATGGAGCATGTGTCCAAGGGTTGGGTGGCTCTTTTGCCTTTAGAGTACCTTAAAATATCTACGTAGTCCCCTGTTATTTTCCTAGAAGCATACAAATATATTTGGGGCTGATAACTGCAAATTAGAATTCTTACTGCTGTGTATTGCGATGAATAACATTAATTTATATGTAGAATACAATTTAATCCTGTTCACGTTTATTTGCATATTTCTTCTAGTTATAGAAGGAGATATAATGTCTCCAGATTTCATACCATCTCAGCCAGAAGGAGTTCATTTGTATCCTTTTTTGAGAATTTTGTGAACTTTTTTATAATTCAAGTTTTATAATCTCCTAGATTTCCCTGTTCTTTTAGTGTTCCTTCATTCTTAAAACACGTTGCCAGCTGTAATTGAATCGTCACTACCTGTGAAATCCTGTCTGGCTGGCTTTTATTTTCCTTTACAGAACTTTCAGATACAGCAAATACCGAGAACCAGAACAGGTAGGAATGGCCAATGATTTTACAACCCTGTAACAAATCTTGCTATTCACCAGAACGTGCTGAAAGTTCAGCCACTGCAGCATTCAAGAGAGCAGGGGCTGCTAGGTTGGCTGGGTCTAGGAATCTAAATTGTAATGTGCTTATTATGTTTTTGTTAGCAAGTTTCTGTCTCATGAATAAGCATGAGTGAGCTTCCTGTCATTGCTGAGTTTTGACTGTATTTTTTTAATTCTGATTATTAAGCAACTTTATAAGTGTACATATCCCAAACTAAAAGGTGGTTCTTTGGTGTAGTATATTTCTTTAGATGGCAACAGCTTAACAACGAAGGACTTGGTCAATTTAGGAAAGGGGCTCTACAAGATAAAGGTAAAGATCCTGAACAAACGTAGCTAAAAAGTACATGTTTATCTTTCTACAATTAAATAATAATAGATAAACTTATATTTCAACTATGTTGTAGCTCACACCTGAATCTGAAGCTAAAGTCAAACAATCACGAGAAGTGATTGAAAGGATTGTAAAGGAACAGACAGGTAAATATTTTTACCTCTAACTATTAAGTGTTTAGAAACCTTCACTGTGTTCCCTCCTTAACCAGTAGTGTACATTTCTTGCAGTTGTTTATGGAATCACCACGGGGTTTGGGAAGTTTGCCAGGACTGTCATCCCAAACAGTAAGCTGCAGTAAGTTGCGTGTGCGGCTTTCTCCGTCCTTTCTTTTCAGGAAAGGAAGAGGAGGGAGCAGTTTGACCCTGTACATTTTTACTCTGTGGTTAGATGAGAGAGCTGCTTCAGTATTTCCCTTT